ATAAGGAGTAAACATGAAAAACAAGAAATAAAATACTTAACCAATCTTCTTTTTTCCTGCTGTCGTTTGTCAAAGAGAGTTAACCCCAATTTTTTATACTAATGATAGTAATACACTTAATAATTTTTATTTAATCAAATAATGTACCAAAGAGTATAGACTCATAACATGCAAAAAGTAGACAAATTCCATTACTTCTAAAAATATTTCTGGCTTTCTAACTATGTGACAAGAGTCATTACAAATTCATCCAAACTAGTCGTTAACTTTCTTATGGGAATGATGTTGGTACCCTAAGTGAAATTGACATTTAACCATCATAACATAACGTTATACAATATGTCATTTGATAGATGAAAACTGTGACTTTCTATTGGTTATAAGTAGTTTATAATTCCACGTAAGAGAGAACTGTTAAAGATTTCTGAATGATAGGATGTGGCAGGAGGGGTCTGATTTTCTATTCATTAGCTCTGTAACGAACAGAATTGAAGACTATAAACTTATGGTTTGTGTGAGCAATGATAATTTTATAGAGAGTAATTTACATTTAATTTCTTACTTTTTTCAAGGGGTGGTGGATAAAATAGGGAAGATTACATGCTAAGAGAAAATGTGTCACGTGGGTCACACTAAGGCAAATTCTGGATGTTTTAAATACTGCCTTGCAGAATTAAGAACTTAACTTATAAACTATTAGAATATGGATTATTAGCTAAGATTTTATGCTATTGTAATTGATATAACATAAACAAAAAGTAGTTTAATAAAATTTTTAATGTAAGACACTAATACCTTGTATCATGCACAATAAATGATACCTGTGGCAATAGGGTTAAGCATGGATATTTTCTTATAATATATGAAATATTTGGTTTATAGTGTTTTTTATCTTTATAAGAACTGCTAATTGCAACAGTTAATTTTTTTTCTCCTGGCTCTCTTAAATGCATTTGCTAATTGAATTCTTTTTAAGTAGTATAAAAGTGAATTTTGTGATGAGAAAAAATCTTAAATTGCAGCTTTGGATAGTGTTGCTCAGTTAACTCTTTCATTGTTTTTGTCTTAATTATGCTTTGATCTATTATATATATATGCCATCATCAGTGTATCGGAACTTCTAATAAATAGTTGAAATATCATTATCTTTTGTTCATATAATACCATAATTTTCAACATATATTTTCGTAAACAAACTCTGGGCTTGTAAAGTGCCAGAACAGTTAACTTAATAAAATTTTCTTCACTAATTACCTGTAACTTATTCATAAAAAAATAAGCAAAACAAAATAGGGAGCAGAAGTACACATGAATTGGGTTTCAAACTACTGTGCTACCAGGCAGTGAAAGGGTTAATAAAACTGTTACTTTTAAGTCAAACTTTCAAAATTGTTAGTGTTTCTGAATTTTAGTTTATAGTTCAAACTACTTCAGTAATTTTTTGTAGTTTCTAACTTGTTGTAACTTGCTGAACCCTAAGATTAACAAAAGAACAGTATTTATTTATTTATTATTTATCTTCCCTTGAGATTGTGTAAGCTCACTATTTTTTCTATGTTTTATTGTATCTTTTAGAACGTTATCAACCTGATAGTTTGACAGGAGTTTAACAGTAGTTAACTGTGCTATCATTACTTTAGAATAAATATCAAATTTATGCTTGTACATTAGCATAATATACATCCTTTTTTTGTAAGAAAATTTACATTTTTAAAAGAATGTTATTGATTGGTATTATAAAGACTGAAATACTAAAATTTTACTTTAGAATAATCACAAATAAATAATATAAAAGAAAAAAATATTTGCTCAATAAACTTTGTTTGAACTTGTTTAGGTTTCAGCCATTGAATTATTTTTTCATTGGATATTGACGTGCTTGATTTGGCTAAAAAATGTAGTGACTTTCCCTGTCAAGAAGCTAATTCAGTCAGGCAACATAGTAAATGTTCCATCATCAAGCTCAAGACCTCGAATTCTATCAGAATGGGAGCAGAGTTTCTCTGATGGTAAGTAACTTAAAAGTGTTCTAAGAATTTTATGTTTGATAATTATTAATGGGTTGTTTATATTATGTTACTTGGGGTATTTTGAATCTGTGGATAGCATTGAATCAAAGTTTTAAAATTAGTAGGATAAAAATGTTTACATACTAATCATAGTTGACTTAATGATGATTACATGTATCCTTTTAAATCCTGTGCAACCCTGTTAAATCAGTACATTCATGTGTTCTTCTTTCATGAGTGTTGTGTGTTTTAAATAAACTTTATGACCAGGAATAAGTAACAAAATCTTCTTTTTGGTTGTTTTAGATACATCTTTTTACTACTGATCAAAAGTATGATTTTTAAAATTGCATACAGTAAGCTCTGTCCTTGAACATTTGCACTGTCCAAAGCTAAACTTCTCTATTTAAGGTTGATTTGTAAATATACTGTTTATTCTATATTTTAGCAATGTAGTCCACACAGTATTGGATGGAGATTTTTACTGCTTATGTTACTATCCATTCCTTTTTGTAGAGAACTTAATATGTTTGTTGAGAATGAAAATCACAAATCAACTACTGCACAAGATTCATAGTTCAGATATTTCAGAATATTACATGTTTTCATATTTGAAAAAGGAATAAAAACCTGTAAAATTACAGAAAAGTGCATGCATAATATAACAGGTCTTTTTACTTGTTCAAATTTTTTAAATTCATTTGAAAGCTGCAAATACTGTAGGAAATAAACCAGTGGCTAACATGCCAAAAGGGCTCTTAAATTTTGAGATATCCATATCTATTATATAAAAAAAAACCAAGGTGGACAGAGTAGTTGCAAAAAAAGATCCTGGTGCATCTAATAAAAATTTATCAAAAAGTTATTGAATACTAAGACTCATAACCAAATTACAGCATTTGGTTTTTTATGTTATGTGGTTGCCTTGGAAAGGGCTAAAAAACCACTGTCCAGGGCAGTTGGCAAATCCAATGTCACTTTTTGGCATCATCACACTACATGTTTTTAAAATTTAAAACTTTCTGATTATGACAACAACAACAAAAAAAAACTTGAAAGAAATTCTACCTTGGCAAAAGAAAATGTTTGTTTACCAATGGTTGGTCCAAAGTACAGCAATATAATCATAAGATTTAAAAGTAGATGTTAAAAAGTTTTAAGTTGAAATTGTCAAGATAATCAGCTAGGTTCCTTCTGATCAGTACTGGAGCCAGTGTAGAGGAAAAATTGTATTAATTATTTTATTTCATATTTTTCAACTTCTAATTTCACTATATATTGATGATTTTCCTACAGTTAGTTTCAAGATAGAGAAAATAACAGGTTTGTAAGGCTTTATATTCGTTTTAGAAGGTTCTTGAGGTTATGCAAATAAAAACATGAAAACTGTAAGATGAAAAAAGGTGTTTTTTGTTCTTAGTATGAAAATCACCTTTCATTCAGACTAACTCAGTAAGGGCTTTGGAAATTCAAAGACAAATCATTTGCCCCCTGGTGGCAGAGCAGTATATCTGCAGACTTACAACACTTGAAACTGGGTATCAGTACCTGTGGTGGGCAAAGAACAGATAGCCCATTGTGTAGCTTTGTGCTTATCTACAAACAAACAAATCTTTATTAAAAATCAGTTTTTTTATATACAACAGAGCTGTAATGTTTACTAAATGATGGTTAAATTTTTTAAATATACACTTAGTAAATCCAAAAATACAGTAAACATTATTATGTATAGCTTCACAGACACGAGGTTGGTCAATTTAATATCCAAGAGAATAAATTTTTATAGAAATATATTTATCGTGACAAACTGAATGCAATATATTTATAGATAAATGGGTTTAAGTAAACCAAAATAGGACCACTGTTTGTGCAGATATTATCTATGAACTTGTGAATAAAGTATACTATTACTTATCGCACTGTCATTAGCTACAGATAAGTGTTAACAAAATACGTAGTTAACTGTATGTGTGATCAGTATCAGAATACATTACCAGTAAGATCAACTATTTACTAACATAGGCATTGTGTCATTCAGTATAAATCAGTTTCTTGGCCACTGGTCTAGATTGCATTAAATAAGTAATTTTATACAAAAATAACAGTAATGTTTTATGTATTAGGTTGTTAATGTAATAGTCCATATGTTGTTGATGCCTGATCTTCTGGGCCAGCAATACTTTAAGAATTGTCCCAGGAAAGATAATTACCAGATTGGATATTTCCAGGATACTCGATGTGCCAATCAAACCCAGTATAATCCATCATATCAGCTCTTGTAGAACATATAAATTTCAGTTTGTGTGACTTGTTTAATAATTAAAAAATATTATTAGGAACATTATATCCTGGTATCAGTGCTAACAATGACATTGTTTTCTTTCAAAATCACTTAGAAACTTAAACTTGAATGATGATGTGGCTGTGAAATATGGAAATAATTTCTCACCTGCCTTATGAATGATCACTGTTAGGAACTAGCTTATGTCTGTGATAGACTCAATAACTAAATATCATAGACACAAGACTTTTAAATGTTGAGAAATGAATATACTTTGTTAACTTTGTAAAAACAGTAAATAATACATCAGACTGATAAATCCAGTCAAAATCAACCTGCGTAATACGAGATTGGTAAATGTAAAATCTGCCTTAAAATTTTATATACAAATTCAAATGGGGCATAACAAAATACAAGGCTACATAAAAATATTACCTTACTTTAGCTTATTTTTCTTTGAATACAAATGGACAATGATCTAAAAATAATCATAAAGTAATGTTCTTATTTGAATAAACTAATACCTTCTGTTCAATTTTGAGTTGCCTCAAATGTACAAGACTGCACAAAGTACTGAAAGTGTCACTTAACATAACTCAAAGTTTTTTTAACAAAGTATATTCATTTCTCAACATTTAAAAGTCTTGTGTCTATGATATTTAGTTACTGATTATTTTTTGCATATTAAATAAAATTATTTATTAGTCATGAAAGTAATGTTGACGACAGACAATTTTGTGTTGAAGGGACAGGATATTGAATTTTTGATGTGGTTTGAACTTTTATTAGTTACAAGAAGGACAGACATCATTTAATGATTGTGATATTGGTTAGGTCTAATGTTCATAGACTTTTAAGTTTCAGAAAACCAGAAACTCTGTATGCTTAAGATTAAATAATTTCTGATGATAACATTGAATGTGTAATTAGCATTATTTACAGTAAATTGTTTTATCTAATTATTAATTGAGTATTTTTAAAGAATTGAAACTTTTTCTAAGTAATACCCAAGTTGACTTGCTGATAAATAAATAATGACTTTTTGATGATAATGTGGCAACCCCTCAACTTGGATGGTCTATCAATAAAGCTGAGGATGTTAACCGACTAGCAGTTGTTAGTACTGCACTTTATAACTATCTAAACTACCGTGCTTGGATGTGATTTCATTAAGATGAAAGAGTTAGTCCAAAGTTTCAATTCTGTCTTATTGAACTAATATTTCATGTAGTGGTGTAAACTGTTTTAACCATAGAGTTATTAGTGAAGATACACATTGACCCCATCTGTTAATGTATTTATTCATAAAGCTGCTCATGAGTCCATGTTTTTGTTGATAACAGGCCTCTAACATCATGAGGTACACACAAAAACATACCAAAAAACTATTGCAGTTAATTCCACCAGTTATTGTTTGAAGAATTTTCTGTACTTTACTTACATAATGACACCACTTGCATTGAATAGTAAAGAAACGTTTTGTTAGTTTGAGGGTTGAAACTATTAAGTAACTGTTTTCCTAAAAGGTGGTATATAAATGACTGTGTGTATATTTCAATATTAGATGAAGTTTTTGAATATGACGTAATAAATACTACCAACAGTGACCTTGGTATTCCTCTTTCTGACACATCAACATCAAGTGAAAGTAGGAATGGTAGTTTTTTTATATCAAGGTTAGTTGTTGTTTCAGTCTGAAACTTTTATATTTGATTTTAAACATTCAAAAATGTTTGCAGATTTGAAGAACAAAAAGAATATTGTATGATGAAGTTGTAATCATGGAATTTTATACTCATATTACTATGTATATTTCATGGTGATATAGTTGCTTTCAGAAGAGAAGTGTAAAATGTATTATTTATTAAGACCATTATTTCCAGTAGCATAATTTGTTTAATTGTTTGTTTTTTTAGAATGAGAATGTAGCGTAATTCTGTGATGATAATTTTATAATTGAGTCTCTAATTTACCAATACGTGCAGGTTTAGGACATTTGTGAATCAGTTATTTTTATGTCAACATTAGAAAATCTAATATCTTAGTATACATCAAATAATCATTAAATAGAATGTTTTTTTTTAAATTGTCATGGCTTAAGAGTAGGTTGTAAGACAATGCTGTAATTTTTAGTATATTAAAAGTCTCAAATATCAAGATTACTTAGATGCATAATTAAAACCATTTCATTTCTTTTAAATGTTACTTTTGAAAGGAATAAAACATTTCTAACATTTCTGTAATTATTTCTTGATACAGGTAGCTTGTAACTTAAAAGTGATCTGATATTAAGCTTGTAACTAACTCTCCAGCCTTTATAGATTTGTTTATTATTACAGTTTTTGAAATACCATTAGAACTCAGAATAAAAAAGAAAGGTTTTGTTACCTTTGATACAAAAGAGTCCCATTGTAACATTGCAAATTGTTAAATGATTTTTTTTAAAAGTTAATATGTTTCTCCCAAACTTGTATGTTATTTATTCTTAGTATTGCAGATCGTTTAGTGAATTCCACACCAGCAGTTACAAGACAAAGGCATCTCAACAAAAGCATGACACCAAATCATATAGTAACCCATGACTGGGACAGGTTAGTTTAATTAATTTTTTTGATGCATGTTTTTAAACTTCATTACAAAATAAAAACTACACTTCAGATTGAAGCTACAGATATCTTTCTGTCTAAAAGAAAAATATATTTGTTCACATAAATTGCAATAACTTCCTTCTTCTGTAATAGTTATAATGTTTGTGCATTATAAATACTTATCAATATGAAATCCTCTAGTGCCTTACAGTAGTATTGATTTCTTTCTGCAAGAATAACTATTATCTTTACAAGTTATGTACCTACTATTAGAGAGTTCAACACCATAAAAATTTTTTATCATCAAATGAAATACTAAAATAAAGTAGAAGTATGACCCCTCTAGTGTTATAAATTTTGAGCAATCCAAATGGTGTTTAATAAAGTTACAAATGTTATAAGCATGCCTATCTCTGAAATTTTGAGTCTCTAAAGTTTCTGATTACTCTTTATGAGCAAAACCTTTTCTCAGGGTTTTCACAGAAATATAAATATTGTTTCAGTTCACAGGTGTAGAAATAATTTCTCCAAATTTAGAAAGCTGTGCATAATTTTAAACATGAAATAAAAGTAAAGAATATGATTATCAGTGTGTCAGTTTCATGCTGGCATTGTATTTCTTAAGTTTACTTATGGAGTATTTTGTCTGAGGTTAATTTCTGTACCAGTCTTATAGGGCTGAATATACCTTGTTTTAAGTATTACTGGATTTTCAAACTTAACCTCCCTTAAGCCTATCATTTAACTATATACTTGTATATAGAAGATTGGTATTTCTTTTGTATTTCAGAACAGTTGTCTGATGCCAGAACTTTTTATACAATAGATTAATTCTTTTAGTGTTAGGAATTGTAGTGAAGTATCGAGTAAATCCATAGAGTTGCTAAATAAACTACTACTTTAACATGTATTCAAGACTATTTTTAGTTATATACTGATGTTAAAATAAAAGATTTATTTAGATTTATTAAAGAAAATGAACAATGGTATAAGTGATGAAAACTATAAACTTTCACAACATAGGATTGTGAATTTTGTTTAATATAAAAAAAAGATAAAACTATTTAATAATTTTCAAAAACATTAAGTTTTTAAGATAAATTAACATAAATGACATAATTGAAACATACAAGCTATAATTTTTTTTTACTTTTCACTTTCCATTTAATTTTACTTAAGTCTTTTTATATTTTACACAATTGAGCTTTTTTGTTGTATTCTGCATTTGGATTGTACTAACATAATGGCCTATTAAAATATTGATCAATGCTGAATAGTTTTCTGTGGATTGTTCCTGTCTTCCATCTGGCTTTGGAGGTGACTTTTAAACTCTGTGGTGTATTCTAGAGTTTGAAACGTCACCAAAACCAGAAAGAAGGTAGGAGTAGTCCATGAAAAATTATTCAACATGTCAACACACTACCTGAAACTTTCTTATGTTTTCCATTGTTAAGTTACAGATAATTATATGCTCTATATTGTGAAGTTGTAATATTGTTATTAAAAGATTGAAAACCTATTTAGCTTATTTTGGGATAAATATTTCAGTTACAAATGATTTCATTAACACATTTTGATATGGAAAGTTAACAATCCAAACTGAAATTCTTAAATTTTTAACTGCAGTTTACCAGTTTATTATTCCAAACTCTAAATATGACGGTGTTTTATATACCTGTGTGGTAACATATTTTGCAAGTGTGATAGTTATCATTAGTATCTCAAGTTCTGTGAGTGAGTACTTGTACTATGTATTTTGTAATAAGTTACAAAGGTTAAGTTTTGAGTATAATGAATTTGAACTTTTGTCTATGACTTTCAGGACTAATAAGTATTAATAAGATTCGTTTTTCTGACTTTTTATGCTACCTTTAAAGTATAAAACACAAGCAGTGACAATGAAACTTATGCTAATAAATATTTCATCTTGGATTCAGACAAATTCCCTACAGCCTCTCAGTAACATTGAAACTTAATGGACTACTTATAACTACTACAGTTTATGTATATGCTACAGTCTGGAAAATATAATTAACTGTTTGTAGTATAAAACACTGTATTTATGCTGTGATGATATTAGCAGTTGACACTTTAACAAACGAGTTGTCTTAGTATAAAATCTTTTTTTAGGGGGGGGTAGTATACTTACATCTCTGTCTTCATCAGATCTTGCCAAATCTTTATTTGCTGAAAACTAAAAACTAAGCAGTTATTTCATTTAATTTCTATTGAGTATCAACTACTTCTTAAACAATTGCTTAAGAATCATGTTGTTAGGTCTTTCTATTAAACAGTATGTTACTTTTGACTTCTCGGTCAATATTTATTATTATTAATATCTTTACATCCTTTTCAATGTCCTAGCATTAAAACACTGAAAATGAATAATATAAATTAGACACTAGGTTATATACATTTAAATACCATTACACATCTGATATCAAGCATAAAACAAAACTATCCTACCTTTTATTTTCTTATGCTGATTTGAAATACAGCAAGTTGTTTGAGCTTTATGTAAATGTAACTTCTAGTTTTTGCCCAAACCTCTTTCTACTGTCAATCATTATTAAATGTCACTTAGTATTAACATACACTTACAAGATGCTTGGGTGATTGTGTTTTCAAAACTTAATTTTCTTGCATTCCAGCTATAGAAATAGTCCTGACGTAACACACAATTTGTCTGTCAAGAGCCAAACTCCTTACATCCTTAATTCCAGCTTACATGAAAGCAGTTTACTTGAGGATGATGCTGAAGTGCGTGCTGGAATTGGACCTAAAAACTTGATGAATGTGAGTCGATATCTTTTGTTGACTGTTTACTGTCGTGCTATTATTAGTTTATATGGTCTTTGATAAACTATTATATAGCTGCCCCTTTTAAAATTTATTCCATTGTTGTAATAACTCAGGGCCCAGTTAAGGATAGCTTTGCTCTCCAGTTTATATATATATTATCCTACCATATATTATCTTTTTTTTTTAATATACATAAAACATTGTTATGCATTTATCCATATTTCTCTTGAATTCAAATACTTTAAAGATAATTCAAGTACTGTAATAAAATTTATTGAGATGAAATATACTGTTTGGAAGTACTTTGTTGATCACGCTATCTAGCCATATGAAAAAAAATATATAAATCGTATTGGAAGTGAGATCAATTTAGTCAGACATGCAAAACACATGAATTTGTTAATTCTTAATCTTGATTGCTTTAGACATTAAAAATAATGCAATATCCTGTTTATAAATGCATAGTATTCATTAGACCATTCATTCAAATACATTTGTAGAAAATCCATTCACACAAGCTCCAGCAACCTCAACCTTATCCAGTAATCATCTCTTTTAGACTAACTTTTTCACAGTATTGGTAGAAATAAGATAAAAATTATTTACAGCAACAACATATTTAGAAGAAAATAAACTTCTCATGAAAATTATTCTGCAGAAGACCTCATCCAGTGAAGAGATCGGATACAGACACAGAATGAAATGCATCCAATAAGAAAATCATTTAGTTTAACAAAGAAAAGAAATTAGAACTGTAGGAATTTTGATAATATCTTTATCAATTAATCAATATGTTTGAAACTTAAAATTCAATAATATTAAATACTTTTCTTCCACTTTTTGGATGGGATTAGTAAACAAAGGAAGTCACAGGTTCAAATATTTGTATAAAAGTTTACTTCTCTTAAAAATATAATGATTTGCACAAAACTATACATACAGGAAGTTTCTTAAAACTAGTATTCATATAATTTACACAAGACTATAAGTTCAGGATGTTAGTTATAAATATCTGAAAACTGGTATTCATATAATTTACACAAGACTATAAGTTCAGGATGTTAGTTATAAATTTCTGAAAACTGGTATTCGTACAATTTACACAAGACTGTAAATACAGAACATTAGATTAGTTATAAATATCTGAAAAGTAGTATTCACTAGAAGTATTTTTAATATAAAAAAAAACTAACATTAATAGTCATTGAGGATTAGTTGTTCACTTCAAAAATCCAGCTTCTGAAAGCTTAATTAATTGTCTCGTATCCAGAAGCATATCTTTCCTTCGTGGTCAGTTAGTGGAATATGACTTTTATCACCTTAAATAACTCAAGACCCTATAAAAAAAATCATTTAAAAGAGGCAACTGAAATACCAAGACCGTTGCTAGGCAACTGAAATACCAAGACCGTTGCTAGGCAACTGAAATACCAAGACCGTTGCTAAAATACTTCAATTTTTTATAGATGTTATATATCCATTTGTCTTCTTCTGATATGTATACAACTTTTATTTAACATGGCATTGTGAAATTTCAAGTTTAAAAAAAGCTCAGTAAATTCTGCATGATTCTTAAACCTGAAATACTAGGCTTTAATTTTATAAGAGCCTTGAATAATTAAGTTCTCAGGTTGTTAGAACCAAGCTTTAGTTGTTTTCTCCAACAGATATAAAAAGATAGATACCAGCTATAATTAATTAAAAATATTAACTGTATACTTAAAAAAAAGTCATAAAACATGCAGATAACATGAGACAAATTTCTATTTATGCATGTTTTTCTGCTATGTTGATCCGTACTAAAATTTGTCCAGGTTAGTGTAGAAAGTTCTGTAAACAGTATTTTTGTTGTGCTTTAAACAGGCATTTGATGTTGCTTGCTCAGATGACAGCAGCTGACTATGAATTGGATGAGAAAGAGGGCTCTAGTCCCATGACCATGAAAAATGGACCAACATTCTATCAGGCTGTTATTGTACAAAAGTCAGTGCTAGTATGGGAATTGGTTTTTAGGTTGCATATGTATATATTGTACAGTAATATACACAAACAACAGTGTCCGGCAAAGACAGGTGTGAGTTGCACAAATGTGTGATTAAAGTGAAATAGTGTAATGTATATTGATATTTTAAATGTTTTAACAATTCTTATACATGTATATATATAAGTAGATAGGTATATATTTGGTACTGAGCTTCATTTGTCTCTTATTACAGTGTGTTTTTGTCTTGTAGATAATGGTTTGTCTTGTTTTGTGTGATTGACATAAGCAAGAAGCTTTGCTGTTTCTAATGACATAAGTTTTTATTTTAATAAGAAAACATTTTTGAGATGAAATATTAGAGTATGAAATCAGTCTGTGATTTTTCAGTGTTTTTGTAAATTAACTTATAACCTTAAGCAGCACATTCGTTTTAAAGTGTTTGTTATATAAAATGTTTTAGCTGGAGTCAAAAACTTTAATCTCAAGATATTAAAGACCTTTTCTAACTTTCTGTTTACTGTGTGATGAATTAAGTTTTGTTGTTCTATACCTAAAGATACCACTTCTGTAGAACTAATTTTTTCCTCTTTGTTACACTGAACCATGCAAATCTTTACTTGAGTGGTGCAAGTGAATTTTCACATTTACACCTAATAATTTTTACATCAGAGGTAATAACTTTAATGTTGTCTGTCAGTGTTATTTTGTTCAAACTGTAATTCTTTGGCCAATATTTATGTGTTCCATCTTCGCACAAAAAAAAAAGCACCGATTTTTTTTAACTTTGTTAAGACAGTATTATTTGAATTTTTTTAAATACATTTTCACGATTAAAAGTTACTGGATTTGTTTTAATTGAAAATCCATATAGCAAGAAAAAATCCAGTAATGTAACGGTTACTAAGTTTTAAGAACCATCCATTTACGGGAATTTACTAAAGAAAATAATTTGTTTGATATAATGAGGTTTTTAGAGTTAAATATACGGTTACATTGTACAATTTAAAAAATCAGGTCAGGTGAATTCAATATTACGTTCTTGAAAGATGTATATTTGATAATTAAAAAACTTGTGTACTTATATTTTGAAGTTTCACTTCATAATTTTTACAGTGTAATTATTTGAAACCCATTGATAAGTGAATGTTTTAAGTAAATATTTTCTCACTGTGTTTGATATAAATTACGGTTTTAAAAAAAAAAAGCGTTATTACTTAACATTAATATTTAAGCACATTTTAGGGTAACAGTAATGTAAATTTTTGAAGAACGTTGTTTTTTGTGTCTATGGAAATGAACGTAAGAAAATGTATCGAGTGTTACTCGTTAGCGTTTATTAAAGTGAAATAATACAAACCTAAACGTGTGGCACGGAATTCCCGTTGTCACGGTAACATCGATAAGGCTTGCACAGACTACTTAAAACTGGGTTATTTACATTGTTCTATTTATCACATTCCGACCTTGGTTACATCAACGTGCTCCAAAGCCAGTGTAGTTGACCTGATAAAAGACAAAGTTATGAAGATGTAGGTCAGTCTGACCTTGGCCGTTATGTCGTCTTCCTGACTGGCACTATTTCTGCAGTTATTCAGCTCATCTCTTCGCTGCATGTGAAGGCTGCTACAACCTTCAGTGCGTCCGATTGTATATTTGATCACTCTCCAGCCCTACTTGCCAGGTTGTATAACCTTGCCCCACATTATTTATTATGGATTTCCCCTACTAACCGTTCTGATGACCTCTCTTTACCCTTGACTGTCTGTTAGTCGTCATATTGTACCTGTATATGCATTTAACGATTTTCAGTCTTTGAATTTCCCTTCTCCCCTTGGGTATGCATAATGGACTTTTCTTACGTTGTTACCAGACGCGTGTATTGTATTCTTGAAAATGTGGATATCTAGCAGTATATTATTTCTGGGTGCACGTGTAGTAAGACTGTAGCGAGGAACCGATTTATGGTATCTGATATAACCTTTTCTTCGTTACTTATAAAAGTATGTGGCCACAAACTTATTCATCATAACATGAAAAGCACACCCGTTAAATTTACGTGTAGAAGCAACAGCGAACATGAAAAGTATGGTGATGTTCGACTAGTAATTGGCGTAATTTTTGTTTCAAAAATGTGGGAATTCTGCATCTGGAATACGCATGAGGGTATTTTATCAAAAAAAAAAATTATTATATCTTGAAAAAGTATAGGGGTCGTGGCACCCGCGTCCCCGTGAAAAATTACACCCATGAATACGATAGTTTCGTGAAACAAATCACCATGAACTGTTGTGATCATAAGATGCTGATATGTTAACACTGTGTTTAAAGTAAATGCGAACGCCATAACATAATTTACTGTTATGAGAGAAACTAAATAACAGGTTCGCTAAGTAGCCTCGGTGATTTTTTCCGCTGAATGCTACCGTTCTTTGTCATTTTACTGAGTGCAAGGAAAAACCGCTACCGAAGTGAGTGTTTTTTTGACAGTTGCCATTTCTATAAGAATTGTCAAAAGAGGAGATATTCAATTCCAATAACTTTATTCAACATGGTAGAATAAAATCATGTACGTATATAATACCGACATGATATATATATATATATAAACCAACAACAATATACTCAAACTTTATTATCTTTATGCGGTTTTTTTTTTTTTTTCTAATGCCCCTATCTTCGAAATATTTCTTGCAATAAGTCGACAGAGGAAGGCCCGTTTTTGTGTGTGTGTGTGTGTGAAATTCTCTCACAAAAAGAAACTTCTACTGTTAAGTTTTTTTCTCAGATTGGCAGCTCAGGACATATGAAGACTGACAGGTCGATGTTGATTTCGATACGAAATTTTATGAATTGCAAAAATATTAATAATTTTCCTGCAATGTACCGTTGAAAAAAAAAACATATATATTTGGTCGTCAATAAATTAATGTCGCGTTTTGGAACACTTTCATTAACCCCCCCCCCCCCAAAAAATAAGTACAATACGTATAATA